ACTTGGGACCTTGCGCTTGCAAGGCGGGCGCCGGAACCACTGAGCTAAATCCCCAGCCCAACAGACTTTTGTTTTATTTTTTGGTTCTGAGGATTGAACATAGGAAGCACTGTGCTAAATCCCTAGCCCTTTTTATTTTATTTTTGAGACAGGATCTCATTAAGTTGCCCAAGTTGGTATCCTCCTGCCTCAGCCTCCCTAGCAACTGGGATTGCAGGTGTGTGCCACAGCACCAGCACCTGGCTTTTTTTTTTTTTTTAAGGATGGGTTTTGTATAAATTGGGAACTTATCTTTGCTTCTAGTAACAAAGGCTCAACTATAGCACCTTAAAGCCGTAAGGGTTGGTTCTCCTATGAAAGCCTAGGTGTGGGCTGTCCAGAACAGGTATATGGGTTCCATGGAGTCAGCAGGGGTCCAGCTCCTCTCTCTCTTTGGTTCCAGCCTCTCAGCAAGTGATTTTCATCCTCAAGGTCACAGGAGAGCTGACAAAACCTTCACATTGCAAGGCAGCACTGAGTTCACATGAGTGGGACACTCCAGATGGGAGCTAGTTACCAGAAAGACCAATCACTGATCATGTGACCGAAGTGCCAGAGCTTAGAGCCACCCGACCTCATTTGTTTTATGGTTTTTCCATGATGTTTTTATGAGCCTGCCTTTCTGTTGGGTGACACTCAGCAGAAGTATTCAACATATTTTTGATCACGCCTCATAAAAGACATGAAAGAGAATCTCAGAACTGCTTTAGAAAGTGGCAAGAATGCTAAGGGTATTTATCTATCTATCCATCCATCCATCCATCCATCCAGTACTGGGGATCAAACTCAGGACCTTGCACTTTCGAGGCAGGCAAGGTGCCACTGAGCTAAATCCCTGGCCCTGCTAAGGATATTTAAAGTGAAGAGGGGTTAATACAGTGTATCCTTTACTGTAATATATTTTTAAACATTCATCATATATGTTGCTCACTCCTTGTATAATGCTAGATGACCTGGTGTGGTGGTGCACACCTGTAATCCCAGCACTTGGGAGGCTGAGGCAGGAGGATTGCCAAGAGTTTAAGGCCAGCCTTGAATATGTAGCAAGTCCCTGTTTCCAAAAACACACACACAAAAAAGAATCCTAGTAAATTTATGGCATAGAATAAAAAATTACAGATTCAAATATATATATCATATATAGGTATATAGTATATATATTGTATTTATCTTAAAATCAGGATGACAATTTCAAAACAGTTAGAGAAGTAGTAAAGTAGTTAATAATTGTTCCCCGGACAGTTTTTTTGGGGAAAAAAAGGTCAGATCCTCATTATATGTAAATTACATATGACATTATAAATTCCAGATAAATTTTGGAGTTAAATATATGTTTATAGTGAGACTCTGAATGTTTAATTTTTTTTTTTGTACTGGGGATTGAACTTGGGACCTTTCGCTTGCAAGGCAGGTGCTGGAACCACTGAGCTTTAAATCCCTGGCCCAATAGTGAAACTTTGAAACAAATGGAAGAATATGCAGTTGAGTAGTTATGTGATTTTAGAGTAGGGAGGGACTTCTGCTTGTTTTGAGACAGGGTCTCACTGTGTAGTTCAGGCTGGTCTTGAACTCACTATGTAGCCCAGGCTGGCCTCAAACTGACAGCAGTCTTCCTGTCCCTCAGCCTTCTGAGTGCTGGATTATAGGCGTGTGCCACCATGCCTGGCTAGGGAGGTACTTCTTTGATACTTTTTTTTTTTAAGAGGAAAATAGCTAGATTTGAATGTGTAAACTAAGAGTTTGTATTGTTTGTTCTGTATATCAATCAGAACACCTACGTATGTACCCTCTGGAAATTCTTGCTACAGGTACATCAGGAGGTTTATGGTAGATCTTATCATTAACAGAGGCAACAACATGTAAGGCCCGGTGTGGTGGCACACACCTGTAATCCCAGAACTTGGGAGAGTGAGGCATTCGAGGCCAGCCTGGCATACTAGTGAATTCAAGGCCAGCCTGAACTTCATAGGAAGACCCTGGCTCAAACAAACAAAAACAAAAAGCATATAAGCACCCAAATTCCTATTTACAGAATAATTACTCATAGGTGTATTCTTATATAAATTAAGTACTTTTCAGCAGTGAAAATGAATGAATTGCAGCTACATACATCAGTCAAGGTGGAAGAATCTTAGAAACAATATAAGCCAGTTGCAGTGGTGCATGCCTATAACCCCAACACTCTGGGAGGCTGGGACAGGAGGATGCAAGTTTGAGTTCAGCCCAGGCAACTGACCAACTTAGTGAAAGCCTGCCTCAAAATAGAAAGGGCCTGGAAACATAGCTCAGTGTGACATCCTGGGGCTCAATTTCAAGTATTGCCAAGAAAATAAAAAGAAACTATAAATGTATGATATTACAGAAGAATATATATCGATGCCATTGTATGCTACAAAAAGGTTAAAAAAGCAAACAAAACTAACCACACATACCTATCATTTACACCAGTAATAATGTAAAAAAATGAGGGAATGATGCAAAAGATGCAAAAAAAAAACCCCAAAACAGTTCAAAGTGGAGATTCCCTTTGAGGGGGGAAGTAGGGGTGGAGATGAGGGTGGACCCACAGGAGGCATCTTCATGAGAGGGTTCATGAGTGTTTATTAGGCTTCATAATTTACATATGTTCTTTTCTGTGTATGGAATATTTTATGATAAAAAAGCAAGAGAAGGAAAGTAGCTCACTATAAACACAGTTTAAGAACAGACTCCAAACCTAAGGGGAAATATTTGTAACATAGGAAATACAAATGTTTAATATTCTGAGTACGTGAAGAAGTCTTGTGAATCAATGCAAAAAATAGTTGAAGGTCATGAGCAGTATTTTACAAAGGAAGAAATACAGCCAGGGATTTATAGCTCAGTGGTTCTGTCGCCTGCCTGGCAAATGCAAGGTCCTGAGTTCAATCCCCAGTACCAAAAAAAAGGGAAGAAATACAAATGGTGATGTACATGAGAAAGGTTTATTAACCTTGCTGTTAATCAAGGGTACGCGAATGAAAATAATGAGGTAAAATTTTTTTACCTGTTGAATGGGTAGATTAAAATGCAGATAATCATTTCTGCTCCACCTACTTTACAAGGCTGTTATAGCAGATGAGATAATATATATGAAAGCCCTTTGCAAATTAATACACATTACCAAATATAAGTTGTAGCTATGAGACAGTTCATTGTTCAGAAAGAACTGAGACAAAATGGAGAACTAATGAAGATTTTCAAAGGACAAAAACAATGGGAATATATCCTTAGATCACTTACAGATTTAAGAGATTTGTGAGTTTTAGTAAGAGCCTCGAATCAAAGTGTCAGACTAAAATACCTTAGGTATGTATTCAGCCTTTCTGTTTTGTTTTGTTTGCTGCATAGTCTCATTATGTTGGCTAGGCTGTCCTCAACTGCTGGCTCAATTGTCCACCTGCCTCAGCCTCCTGAGGAGCTGGGAGCTATCCCTGGTGCAGTCAGCCTCCTGATGCTACTCCCTCCCTCCTTCCTCCCTTCCTTCCTTTTTTGGTGTGGTTCTAGGGATCCAACCAGGGCCTCCTGCATGCTAAACAGCCACTCTACCACTGAGCTATACCCCAGGTCATCTTTAGTCTTGATTTGACAGGTGCACATAAAAGATATTGAGGCCCAGAGAGGAGTTTTGTCCAGAATCTCAGTAGTTTCATAGCTGGGGAAAACACTTAACCTTTTCCATCATATTTTAGTCACTATTTTGTCACAGGGACAAAATACCCAACACCTGGTTCACAGTTTTAGTGGGTTCAGTCCATGGTGGAATATTGGAAGGGCATGACCGAGGAAAGCTACTCAGATCATGGCAGCCAGGAAGCAGAGAGATAAGGGAAGAGCTAGAAACAAACACAACACCCATCCAGGTTACTCCTACAATGACCCACCTATTCTGACCAGCTGCCTCCTAACAGCTCATTCAGCTGTGAACTCATCCAAGGTTAATCGACTGATGAGTACAGCACCCCTGTGATCCAGTCACCCTCTGAAAGCTCCACCTCTGACTACATGAGACTTTGAGGGAACCCTCTAGATCTAAAGCATAACATAACCTAATACTATGTATTACATTCTCTTCCCTCATTTTCACTTGTCCCTCTGGTATTGCGTCATTTTTTCCTTTTTTCCTTGCTCTCCTTTCCTTTGTTAATTATATAATTGAAGTTTTATTTTACTCTGTAATTATATGTTCCCTACACTTACAGGGAGAATAGAGAATTTCTCTTTTTAAAACAAATAGACAATGCTTTTTCTTTATGATCCTTGATTGGTAACATATTTCTTTCTATCCATCCTAACCTTTTAAGGGTTAGTAGGCTTCTGTTGAGGTCATCTCTTTCTGTGCCCACAGATAATGGCTGGTAAGGGAAAGGAGTGCTGTATATAAATTTCTCTGTCTCTTTCTCTTTCTCTGTGTCTCTCTCTGACTCTCTGCTTTCTGCTTCTCTCTCTCTCTCTCTCTCTCTCTCTCTCTCTCTCTGATCTAGCTACATAGTCCAGGCTTCTCCTGAATTTGCTGTCTGTCTCGCCTCAGTCTCCCAAGTGATGGGATTACTGGCATGTACCACCCTTCCTGCTTATGTAAATGATTCTTTATCTGGATGTTGGAAGTCTTTTTTTTAAAATCAGTTATTCTTAGAAACAAAGCCCTTGTTAAAACTAATAATTATCTATCTGTTCAACAGAGATTCTGAAGACAAAAATTCAAGTTGGGCATCGTAGTGCATGCCTCTAATTTCAGCACTCTGGGAGTTTGAGGCAGGAGGATCACAAGTTTTTTTTTCTTTGAGACAGTGTCTGACTAAGTAGTTCAGTCTGGCCTAGTACTCACTGTAAAGCCCAGGCTGGCCTCAAATTTGCAGTGATCCTCCTGCCTCAACCTCCCAAATGCTGGGATTATAGGCATGTACCACTACGCCTGGTTAAGGAGGATCACAGATGTTGCTCAGTATGAATGGCCTGTATTCAATCCTCAGCACCATAAAAAGAAAAAAAAAAGAATTCAAAGACTCAAAGTAGCAGGGATTTAAAAACTATAGTGGCTAAAGTACAAATACATCGAGTACTTGATATTTTTAGGCATTGTAGTAGAGGCTTTGTGTGTATTGTTACATTTAATGCTTTTTACAGGCAATTTTACAGGAGAGAAAAGTTCAGCTCAGATAGGTTGAGTAACTTGCCCAAGAGTTAAACTCTGGTAGTTGAACTCTATTTGTCTCAGGACTTGTGCTTCTCAGTGTATCTAGTGAATTTTCAAGTGGCTAAGATATGTACTGCTACCACATGATGATGGATATGTACTGAGACTAAGGAATATGGGTTGTTTTTTTTTTAATGGGGGGGTTGTTTTGTTTTTTGTTTTTGAGACAGGGTCTCTCTGTGTAGCACAGGCTGGCCTTGAACTCACTATGGACCCCAGGCTGGCCTCAAACTCATGGTGATCCTCCTGCCTCAGCCTCCTGAGTGCTGGGATTAAGCCATCACGCTCGGCCTGAGACTAAGGAATATGACTTAGAGAAATCAGCTTGTGTTTTATCTTAGAAGACATAGTCAACACTGGGTGTCACCTGGATGGCTTCCAGAGGAGCTGATATTGTACTTGGTTATACGAGAGTCCTTGTGCTTGTTAAACTAATTTGAAATACCAATGAAACTAAATTTTAGCAGCATGACCTAGAAAGTTCTAGAACTGGAAGCAATTACTATCATACATTTGTCTCTGCTTTATATAAATTCCCCCAGAACTAATTAGAACTGATTCTGTGAACTTTTGGGAAACATTCAAGGCTGGTATCCCTTTGTTTTGGTTTCTCCTTTCTCCTGTGCTCTGCAGACATATGGATGTGGTTTCTTGCCAAAGCTCACCTTCTCAAGTGAGTCAGGTTTCTCCTTTTGCTATTAAATATCATGATGTCTTTCTTAATGTTCACATTGAAGATATATTTGCTCGAGACAAAATTCCTATTGTCGTGGGAGGAACCAATTATTACATTGAGTCTTTGCTCTGGAAAGTTCTTGTCAATACCAAGGTATGTTTAGTTCACTTTCTTTCTTTTTTTTTGTACCAGGGATTGAACTTCGGACCTTGTGCTTGCGAGGCAGCGCAGAACCACAGAGCTAAATCCCCAGCCCCTTTTGTTCACTTTGTAACCCACCAAAGAAATGGGTTCCTCTTTCATGCCAGCTAATTTTAGTGGGAGGAAGGTTGATTCTTGCCTATTGCTTAGACGCTACAACTATAATTTTCTTTTGGGGGGGGGGCTACTGGGGATCGAACTCAGGACCTTGTGCTTGTGAGGAAGGCGCAGTGCCACTGAGCTAAATCCCTGGCCCAGCAACTATAATTTTCCTGCTTAATATTCTGAAGCAAATGTGAAGTGTACTCCTCTAGGCTGGCGTATGAGCAGGGGCCGTGTGGGGGGAAAATGCTCCTGTGTAGATTAATTAGCATCTCCCTGTAAGCTAACAGTATATTAGTCTGATTCAGCATTTCCTGGCTGGCAGCACTGTGTATAAATCAGAGAGATGTCCACCACTGACCTTTGTTATGGAGATGCTACCTTGTAGGGCCGGACTTTGCAAATGGTGATGTGGTGGGAGTTCTGGTTCCCTCTTTGATCACCGTTGCTAAAAGACTAGATTCCTGCATATGTTAAAATAGATATCATACCGTACTCCTACCTTACCAATTTGTACTTAGGACAGAGAAGCAGGGTAGCAGAGTACTTTCCTATGCAGTAAGCCCTCCTTCCTCTTTGCTATGGGCTCATAGCACTTACCACAGCACATTGGAATTTTTTGGTTTGTGGTCTGTCTGTCACTGTATGGCAAGATCTGATTCATCTCTGTATTCCTAAAGCTCTGTAAAGTGTCTGGCACATAGGCTGTCCCAATACATATTGAATTATTGAATTCAGTGTACTCTCATCTTTCATTTAATAGTCCATGGAGGTGGGTGCTGAGCAAGTGGTTGACCGGAAAGTAGAGCTGGAAAAGGAGGATAGCCATGTGCTCCATAACCGCCTACGCCAGGTGGACCCAGAAATGGCAGCCAAGCTGCACCCACACGACAAGCGCAAAGTGGCCCGGTAAGAAAGCCTGATCTGGTTGTCCCTGAATTCCTTGAGACTGTAGTTTGCCAGGTAACAGGCTTGGTAGTTGCAGTTAGTAGAAATTGATGTGTTGTTCTAGCTCAGCAGGCCTGGGTTACTGCCTCAATCCAACTCCCCCAGAGAACAGTTGCACCCTACTTTGTAGTTACATCTTTAAATGCATAGTACGATATTGTGTTTCCTAAGGTCTATATAATCTTGCTTCATTTTCTATTTGATCTTTGCTTGTATAACAGTTTTCATATAATTTTTTTCTGGCATGCAGTCTGTTTACATTGTGATTTGGGTTTCATAATGGATTGTGCAATGCTGAGTCCTGCCCAGCAGCTTTCCCAGTGGAGGCTGATGTTTTAAACCATCTCATAGATCAGCTCACCTTTGTACACAGAGACTTTCTCCTAGGGGTGCGAGGTGCTGAATGAACTCATAAGGTCATGTTTTCTTAGGTTGTTTTGGAATTCCAGCCTCATGTGTTAACTTAGTTTTTCTTCAGTGTTAGGAGTGATTACCATATCTGGCATAGTAGAACATCTGATGAAGATCTTCCTGTGTGGATGATTACAAACAGATTAAATATTATAGTAACTGCTTGTATCAATAAGGGTCATGAAGTTTTTTACTCAAATGATTTTTCTAGATTAGTGTTTCTTGATACTATTGTCATTATTCTGCCCCCCCCAGGAGTGGTTTTAGAATTTTTTTCCTAGTAGCACCCCAACTCTGATGAAGTCTAACCTTAGAGAATAAGATTTTTGAGTAGGGTTGTCTTTTGGAGGGCCATAGCTCATTTTTTTCCCCCACTCCTTTGAAGGGATATCACCCTGGCAAGATTGCATGTTCTAGGTTAATAAAGTTTAGGTTTTCCAGTAGCCAAACAGTAAACATTTAATAGAAATCTTTCAGCTTTTTAAATCTCAGGAGCATTACCATCAACATTCATTTGTATATTCTTTAGGACATTAGACCCTGTCTTTTATTATTCTGTCATTTGACTACTTTTTTCTTATCACCTCTCCTAAGCTAGTATATGTTTTGCTGCTCTTTTTTTTTTTTTTTTTTTTTTTGAGACAGGGGCTCACTATGTAGTTCAGAATGCCCTTGAGCTCACTATGCAACCTCAAACTCAAGGCAGGCGATAACACCTGCTTCAGACTCCCAAATGCTGGGATTACAGGCATGCACTACCACGCTGGGATATTTTGGTGCTTTTAAACTAGTAATGTCCTGAGAATTGTACCTTAGGAAGAGTCAGTAGCTTTTAAGCTCTAGGATCTCTCAAGATGATTAGAGGGATTTTTTTTTTCTTTTGGTACCAGGGATCGAACTCAGGACCTTGGGCTTGCAAGACAGGCAGCACAACCACTGAGCTAAATCCCCAGCCCGATTGGAGGGATTTTTTAAAATCTTTCTTTGGGTTCTAACGTCCATATGGGTGAGATATTTGTTAAATTTTTTTCTCATAGATCTTTTTTGAGTGACCATGATACCAATGGACAAGGGTTATCTTCTCTTATATTAGAATTTCAAGATGTAGAAATGAGTCAGGAAGGAAAAGATTATTTTCAAGCTGATAAATTGCAGTCAAGCACAGTGCTAGAGTATAGATTTGGGAATTCAGTTACCTAGTGGTACATATACACAGAAGTAGATGGCAGCTTAAGGATAAGTATGTGAAGCTAAGTGTGGTAGCACACACCTGTAATCCCAGCACTCTGGGAGGGTGAGGCAGGAAGATTGCAAGTTTGAGCCCAGCCTAGAAAACTTAAGAGAGACCCTATCGCAAAAATAAATAAATAAAATTTTTAAAAGGGCTGGAGGGCTGGGGATTTAGCTCAGTGGTTCTGCTGCCTGCCTTGCAAGTGCAGGGTCCCAAGTTCAATCCCCAGTACCAAAAAAACAAAAAACAACAATAAAAGGGCTGGAGTTATAGCTCAGCTTGTCAGCCCCGATTCAATCCCCAGTACTAAAATAATAATGATAATTATTATTATATATATTTATATATTTATTATTATGAGGTGTGATTAAAATATGAGTTTAAATTTTAAAATCTTTTTTTTTTTTTTTGGTACCGGGGATTGAACTCAGGTCCTTGCGCTTGCGCAACAGGCGGCGAAACCACTGAGCTAAATCCCTGGCCCTAAATTTTAAAATCTTTATTACAGTAAAAGATGTATTGCCACAAATCCCCCTAGAAATATTCCCCCTTTCTTTGAACACACTTACACCATCATTCTTGCCATTTTCTGAAGCAGCCCTGGAAGTCCTCTTGTGTCTTTACAAGGTGTGCTCAGAAGTACAATGAACAGTGCCAGTAAGTGCCATTCAGTGGCAAGGCAGGCTGGTAAGAACACTGCGGCATGTCCTCATCCACCTTACTCACTGCATCTGGCACTGTGCAATTTCTGGCTCTTCCCCAAAGTCCAAATGACCACGAGAGGGAAATCTGAATCGATTCAGGGCATTGAGGCATCTATGACAGAACAATTAAAGACACTCGTGAAAGACTTCTGGAACTGCTTCAGAAAGGGCTAGAATGGTAGGATAAGTGTGTTTGAAGTGGAGAAGAGTATTTTGAGGGGGATTATTAACAGTGTGTCTTTATTGTAAAAATTTTTTTTTTTTAATTTAAATGTTCACTGTTTTTTTTATCATACTTTGTATGTAAGTTCTTTACTCAGTGATCTTTGTGCCAGTACAGAGTACTGGATTAGGCAGGAACATTCTTCATTAATTTTAGTCATATTTGAAAAGAAAGCTGACGAGCTGGATGTGCGACATACCTCTGTACTGTGGGAAAGGCACTCCAGCGAGACCAGACTTGTAGGCTTGTACACGATGTCCCAAACAAGCTCCTTTACTGCTACCTGAAAGTGAGTATGTGAGTTCTGTTCTGTTTGAGTAGAAGAAACCCATTGTTTCTGAACCTATTTAACTGATACCAGAATTGTCTTTCAAATAATATTATTATTTTTCACTTTACCCAGAAAGTGACTTACACCTTAGAATAACCCTATACCTTCTTTTGGGGCAGAGAGGACTTAGGCAGAGAAAATGAAAATGAGACTTTCTGTAATCTACAGGTTTCTCCTTATCTCACTTGAGAATGAATATTTCCTAATGATTTGTATGGGTTCCTCACTCCCTTTAAAACAACTTAGGAGCTTACAAGTGTTTGAAGAAACGGGAATCTCTCACAGTGAATTTCTTCATCGTCAACATTCAGAGGAAGGTGGTGGTCCCCTTGGTGGCCCTCTGAAGTTCCCCAACCCTTGCATCCTGTGGCTTCATGCTGACCAGACAGGTAAAAGCCCTTTGGTTTCCTAGAGTCCATTGAGGTAGAATCTGGATCAGTAAGTCACTGTGTATAAAATGGCTAGAACCATGAGAGGCTCATAATGAGCACCAGCTATTATGCTATTAAGTGCTAGCTATTAAGTTTATCATCATCATCATTCATTGCCTTGGATGCAGCACCATTCTCCTGATACCTGTCTAGAAAGGGAGGAAGGGTAGTGTTGGATAAGATAAGACAGGATAAGATACCAGGGATAGGTGGGATAGGTGGGACAGGAAGGAGACTGCTGTCCAGGGAAGGTCCAGAGGGTAAAGAGAAGGAAGGTTCTGAGTGGGAGAACTCTAACTTCAGGTTTGGCTGGAGCCTGGATCACTGATTATTCTAGAAGCTATAGGCCTAAGAGGGGGATATGATGATTAGGGGTATTTTTGTCCCAGCAGTCTAATAACGCCTGTGACAGTAGAAGCTTATTCATCCATCAGACATTCAGTAAGCATTCAAGGAAGTACTGAGTAGTCCGTGTAGTTCCTCAGTTGTAGAGATGAATAAGAGATGCCTGAGCTTAAGAACATGCTGGTTAGTAGGGTGACAGACAAGGAGCTGGGTACCACACTGTGATAAATGCTGGGCTCAAGATACATTTTATTTTATTTTTTGGTATCTGGGATCGAACTCGGGACCTTACGCTTGCAAAGCAGGTAGCAGAACCACTGAGCTAAATCCCCGGCCCCAAGGTACATTTTAAAGTGCTGTGGGGCCTCTCTGGAGGGAGTCAGAGGCCAGTTTGCAAAGGTAACCCATGAGCTGGGAAGATGAGATGACTTTGTGGAGGGCAGTGTAATGTAGCGAGAATAGCGGTCTCTGAGGTGCACTGTCTCATTTCAAATTCTCACTCCAGTTATCTTACTTTACCTTTCTATGCCCCAACTCTCCTGTCAAGTGGAGATAATAATACTATGTACTGCACAGTATCGTTAAGGGTTAGATGAAATAATACATACAAAGTTGTGGAACTAAGGGAACAGCTCAGTGGTAGAGCACTTGGCTGACATGCAAAGGGCCCTGATTGAATGAATAAATAAATAAATGCCTCTGCAGTACTCAGAATGTGCTTGACATGTGGTGAGTCCTTGATAAATGTGTGTTTTAGGAAGAAAAACAGTTACTAGCCAGGTGTGATAGCTATACTCCCAGCCCTTGAGAGGCTGAGGCAGGAGGATCGCCACAAGTTTGAGGCCAGCCTGGGCTACATAGTGAGTTCACAGCCAACCTGAACTATAAAGCAAGACCCTTTTTAAAAAAAATGATAATAAAAAATAACAAAGAGTAGCAAATAACAATGACAAAAGTTAAGAAAGGTAAACCAGGAACCCCAGCCACCTCTTAAAAAGCAGTGAATATACATTCCATATTAGAATAAAATATTTATCTTTCATACTAGCTATAATTTTATGTTTTTGGTTTATGTAATGAGAAGGGTTGTACTTCCTTCTGGCTGTTTTTATTTGGAGTTGCGGAGTCTGACATTTGAATAAATATAATAAGGGGTCATGATATAATCTTTGAAATTAGAATCCTTTCTTTTGTTTGAACAAGTTCTATTAGGCAGCCTATTCATTCACCATGTAAGTGTGTAGTAGGCACTTGCGATATGTTGTTGCTGGTTCAAGGGCTAATTTGATTCAAGTTTTAGATGAGCGCTTGGATAAGAGAGTGGATGACATGCTCGCTGCTGGCCTCTTGGAAGAACTAAGAGATTTTCACAGATGCTATAATCAGAAGAACTCTTCGGAAAATAGGTGAGGATTTGGCTATTACTCTGATTTATTCACCATCCCTTGCCTATGATTGAAAGACCCTAAGACATATGATATTGGCTTTAGACCTACTTATTTATTAGCGTGTCCTTGGCATTCACAAGAGTTATTGGAAGGAGGTTTAGTATATTTGCAGTTTTCTAGTCTTTCAGACATTCCCAGGAGCTGGTGGGGCAAGTAGGGGAGAATTTCACAGTCATAATTGCTCAGGATCTCAACTGGATCATCTCCAAGGCCCCTGCTAGCTTTCAGAGGCAATGGCTCATCTGCTGATGCTCTCCTGTTTCCAGCCAGGACTATCAACATGGTATCTTCCAGTCAATTGGCTTCAAGGAATTTCACGAGTACCTGATCACTGAGGGAAAGTGCACACCAGAGACTAGTACCCAGCTTCTAAAGAAAGGTGTGAATCTCTCCATCTAACCTAGTCTTGGGCATCACATCCCTGGGTCACAGAGTACCCTGCTGGTATGGTCTGAGCAAGAGCTGAGGCTAAAAGAGCCCCAAATGGTCTTCTGCTCAGAATTGAGGTTGCGCCCACCAAATCTAACATTATGCTGATTTTCTCTTCTACTGGGCTGGGAGGGCCTGGGACTTGGCAGTGAAAGAAGTGATTACCTAGATGTTCTGCTACTTAACATATCTTTCAGGTATCGAAGCTCTGAAACAAGTAACTAAGAGATATGCTAGGAAGCAAAATCAATGGGTTAAAAACCGTTTTTTGAGCAGTAAGTCTCCTGACTATCCTTATCCCCTGCACTCCTTTATGATAAAATATAGATGCCCTTTGTTCATTCAGGAAATGAAAGTTACTTTTTAGACTAAGAGTTTAATGTCTGTTCTAAGAGTTTAGTGTCTGTGCTAAGATTTTGGACCTGACCTGGGGAAGGGTCTGTGGCATAAATGATTGTTCAGGAGGATTTCTTGTGAGGGCTTAGGGGAAAAAAAAGTTTCCACTGACATCTTCCTTGTACTTTGAATGTGTGGTACTGACTTCAAATAAGTAAGAGCAAAACAGCAGCATCTCAGCAGAGTTGGTATTCAGGGCTGTTTTTTAGCTTCAGTTTTGTACTGAAAGCAGAGTCCTGTGTAGTGGCACCTGCATGTAATCTCAGCACCCGAGGAGGCTGAGGCAGGAAGATTGCAAGTTCAAGCCCAGCCTGGGCAACTTAGTGACTTAGCAAGGCCCTGTCTCAAAATAAATAAATTAACAAATAAAAATTTAAAAGGGACTGGGAAAGCCAGGTGTGGTAGTGAATACCCATAATCCCAGCACTCGGGAGGCTGAGGCAGGATGATCTCTCCAGTGTTTGAAGTCAGCCTGGACTACAGAGCGAGACTCTGTCTCCATAAAAGGGGGGGGGGCTGTAAATGTAGCTCAGTGTGAAGGCCTTGCATTCAATCCCCAGTACTGTGACAAACAAACAAAAAACAACCACCAAAATTCTATAGGGAGTTTTCCTAATTAAAATGGTTCTTGGGCCATATGATTAAAAGATAAAGCTTTTACTACTTCTCTGAGCACTTCCTTGTGATCAGGTATGTGATACTTTCATTGCATCAGTTAAGCTTTAGTTGAACAGAACTTTTAAGGGAAAAGGAAAGAAACTGTCACTCAGTGACCCTATATACTGTGTATCTTTGGCACTGAATTTGGTGTGCTGTATGTATATCAATGAGCCTCATGTTGTAGAGGCTTTTCTTTTCTTTTTACAGATAAGAAAGTGAAGGCCAGCTGAAATTAAATAACTTGTGTTGTTATCCCCCGCCCCCCCCCTTAGTAGGTGGTGGAGATTGAATTCTGGCCTTCTCCAGTATCTACACTCTTCTTATTGCTTTTATCTTATACTTCTAGAGAGACAGCATTAATATGGGGCTGAGGTAAGAAATTATGTACTTGAGCTAAGAGGAGTTTAAGCATAAATGAAACTCCAGTTTTGTCTCGTAGACACTTTTTAAATATGCTTCAGGATCATCCCATATTTAGGTCTTGCCTAAAGACTTCTGCTTTAGTTGAGGTGAGGCTAGCTCAAGCCTCCACTCCTCTCGTGCCTCTTGGTGCCCCTGAACATGCCTGTCTGATCAGTATTGTTGGCCATTGCATTGCTTTCTTCTGCTTATCCTTCTTCCCTGCATGACCTGATAGATTGAGGGGAGGTCTTAGTGTCAGCTGAAGTTGAGGTTCAGTATTACAAATTTCAGTTGCAGCCTTTCTTCCCAAGTCGAACAATATGTCTGTAACAAAAGTCTTTTTTATAACAACTTAGAACTTCTTCCTGTGGTAAAGCCACACGAACTCCCCCATCTCTTAGATGGGTGTGGAGCGGGGTGGTGGATGGCACAGTGTCATATGCCTGTTCCTCCTTCGCGTGTGCTGGCAAAGTCCTGGTGCTAGAGTGAAAGGCACAGCTGCCCTTTAAGTCAGGAGCCACGTGTGATTGGCCAGGGCTGGCCCTAGGGGTATGGTTCTGGCAGGGAGCCAGAGGGACTTCCCCACTCCAGCTTGGCCTTGGACCTAAGCCAGAAATAGCAGCTGGGAGCCGAGAACTTGTTGAAAGGTGCTGAGACAGGGCACAGAAGTCCAACAAAGGACTTAGAGGAGAAAGGAAAATGTAGAGTGGCCTGGAAACAGGTGCAGAGCTTAGCCAAGGCCAGGTGTGCTGTGGGTGCCGCCTGCACCCTCCCAGTCTCACCTTTCCATGTGGTGGCAGGTGTAGCCCAGTCCAGTTTATGAAGAATCTTATTTGTGGTTGGTGCAGTCAAAAGTCGAGCACCTGCCAGCCGTTGGCATCCTGATGCCTTTGATGTTTTTTGTCCATAGAGCGATGCTCTTTGCTTTTAGGCAACTGGCTTACCTAGCTGTGGAAGGTAATTTACTGTATTTGTAGACTGAGGAAGCTACCAACAGAGACCAAACTCTTGCCACATGGTTGCCTCAGATGGGTGAAATGTCTGTAGCTTCTTTTTTTTTTTTTGGTACCAGGAATTGAACTCAGGACCTTGTGCCTGCCAAGTAGCTTCATAACTCTTACCCAAGGGTGTTTCTTGAATAGTCCCCTAGATCTGGCTCTTTTTTTTTTTTTTTTTTTTGGTACCAAGGATCGAACTCAGAACCTTGAGCTTGCAAGACAGACGGCAGAACCACTGAGCTAAATCTCCAGCCCCTGGCTCATTTATTTGTTTGTTTGTTTGTTTGTTTATTCAATTTATTATTTTTTTTGGAGACAGGCTCTCAGTATCCAGGCTGGCCTTGAATTCACTGTGTAGCCCAGGCTGGCCTCAAACTCATGGTGATCCACCTACCTCAGCCTCTTGGGTACTAGGATTGCAGGCATGTGCCACTACACCCAATTAGATGTGGCTCTTAAAGGAAGGGATTCAGTTAGATCAATTGTAAGACTTCTTTCTAGTTCTCAGACTCAGCAGCTCATTGGCTGATAATGTTGTTCCCAGCCTATGGTTATCGTGTGCTGTCAAGGAGTTTCATGAATGCTTTGCTGCTGGAGGGATGTATGTAACCTTGAAACTAGTGTCTATTAAAGACGCCTAAAGAACTGTAAACTCTTTTTGCCACAGAGTGCCCGTAACAGTAAGATGACATGGCAGACAGTTAAAGCTGTTAGTTTCTTTCTGTCTTTGAAGTGCTGCCTTTATGTTTGTTTTACCCTACATACAGGTTAGCAGAGCTGCAGTATTCCCCCATTTTAGTTTCCATGGCCAGGCTTATTGGCTGCAGACATTAACCCTCTCAGTCTTTCTTGGGTTGTGGTTCATGTTTATGGTAGAATGAATAGGATGGTCAAATGTTTATTCCTTTGGCCATGTGTGTCCCCCTTAAGGGTTTCACAGCGCTATGAGCAGAATGATTGGGTCTTGGAGGCTGACCTCTTGCAACTTTTCTTTGTTATCATTAGGACCTGGTCCCGGTGCCCCCCCAGTATACGGCTTAGAGGTGTCTGATGTCTCGAAATGGAAAGAGTCTGTTCTCGAACCTGCCCTTGATATTGTGCATAGTTTCATCCAGGTGATTATTGATCATAGTACAGTTCTTTTTCTGTTTTGTTTTGTTTTTTTTGGTACCAGGGATCAAACTCTGGACCTTGTGCTTGCGAGGCAGGCGGTAGAACCACTGAGCTAAATCCCCGCCCTTTTAGAACACTTTCCTTCACTGATACATTGGTTGCTATATTAGGGAACCAGGGTTCTTTCCCATGGAATAAAAGAGAAGGGCTGGCTACTTTTTTTTTTTTTTTTAATCTCTGGGGCTGTATTTCTACTTTCATGTTTAGAAAGGTTACTGCTAAAATCTGTTTACAGCCCACCTGCTCCCTGGGCTGTAAAAGAAGAATCTGGGGAAGATCTCACTTCCTCTTAATACCAAAGAATTATACTCAGTTTCTTTGAATAGAGTACTCTTGTGTTCCACCTTGTTCTTCTAGGGCCACAAGCCTGTAGCAGCTCCAGTAAAGATTCCATACAATGAAGCTGAGAACAAGCGAAGTTACCATATGTGTGACCTCTGTGATCGGATCATCATTGGGGACCGAGAATGGGCAGGTAGAGTGTGAGAAGGACATGAGAAATCTGTAAGGGTGCGGTCACATTAACTTGTTGAAACTGGAGGTCTTTGGTAGGTTGAACACTGGGGTCTGCTTATTTGTAAAGGAACAGCCAAATTCCTGAGCCTGTGCTCATATTCTTTGCAGGCTTTCCCAGACTGCAGAGTATTCTGAAATGCAAAGGAAATCATATGCCCTCCAGCTTCATCTGGAATGGCTGTTTTATACTGAGAGGTCTGCACTTAACTTTGACTTCATACTCCTGCCTGAGAGGAGATTTTGGGGCTTTCATGTTTAGAATATTGTGGGAATGAGATAAGATTGTAAAGGAATCAAGGCAGTGCATCCAAAAGACAGAAGCAGAAGCAGACCAAGGAGGGAGCAGGAAATACAGTTCTTCCTCCAGAGCACATTCTTCAGAAGCGGGGTGGAATCAGTATTTCTCTAGGTAGTTTGCTTAAATGGTGATGGTGGCTCAAACAGTGGGGCTTGTAGTTTACCCAGTGGCTGGAATCCTTCTGTTCAGAGTCCTGCTTTGGTTGAATTCTCAGAGAAGTACAAGTACATTTTCTCCCCATATCAACCAATAGAATGATAGGTCTCTTAACTGGTAACTGGCAAAATGAACTCCATTGTCAGAGTCTGGGGACGGCTGTGATTGCCCAACCAGCAGAAGAAGCCTCGATTATCGTTGGTTTATAATGATGAAAGGGGAAGAGAAAGAGTGTCTGATTGTTTTGTAAAGGAAACTTAGTGGTCGGATTTGTCGAATGTCTTCAGAGAGAGCCTTAGAGAAACAACATTTGTGAGCCTTTGTGAGCGTAGCTGTGTGAGGCCTCTATAGTGCCATCTGTCAAGTCCTTGCTCCCATCTCCTGCTGCCATGGAGAGCCGGCCAGAGCCCAGCTTCTGCCTTAGGCTCTCGCTGGAAAACAAAGCTGACTTTTCTCACCAGTAAACTGTTCTTTGACTTCTAACCTCTTCCTTACTTATACTTGCTTCTAAGCTGTTAAGAATAATGTTTTTCATGTGTATAAAAGAATTTAATCTAGTTGTTCCTCTGTTGGTGCTCCAAGATGAAATTTCCTTGAAAAAGAGCAGGATAGTAGAAAGGAGCCCGTGTGAGTGAGTCAGAAGATGAGAACTGTCTGGGGGTGAGAAGTCAGTGTTCAATAGAGAGCAAGGGAGGCCACTCAGCTTCCTTGCTGGGCCCTCAGAAGAGGTTGCAGAGACCACTCCTCTAGCTCTCTCTCTGGAGCATTGTGTGCCGCAGAATGAGAGCCTTGTGGGTTAGTCCTTCAGATGGCTGATCTGACACAGGCAAGGCATGTTGGACCAGGAGGAGCAGGGCAGGAAACAGAGAGGCAGCTCTGGCCCTCACATTTATTTATGGGGCAAGGTACTGCAGCATGAGGCATGGGCGAGGGTTTGAATTTCTAACATTTGAGTTGAAATGGTTCTGTAATAGGAAGTCTGATATCATAGAGGCCTGATTCTAGAAAGTGGGGTCCCTTTTTGGAGTTATAGGTCTAAGCAGAAGAGTTTACCTGCTGTGTAACCTTGAACAAAATGTAAGACCTCTCTGAATTTCAGTTTTTCTCCTTGTGTACACTGAGCAGAATAGACTGTCCTGCAAGATTATTGTGAGGATTAATGGTGTTATGTACCTAGCAGTGTGTACCTGATGCATGGTAGCTCTCTCTTGCTTGCTAAGCAGACTGGCCATATAACTTATACTTTCCTTAAAAATGCTAAGAGCTATACCAAGACATATGTTGATTCTGTTACTCATTGTTAAAGAAGAAGATTCTATACACTTAATTGCTTTTAGGATTAATTCTAAAAAATCCTAATGAGCTTTTTTTTTTTTGTCTTCTCAGCGCATATAAAATCCAAATCCCACTTGCACCAAGTGAAGAAAAGAAGGTTGGACTCAGATGCTGTCAATACCACAAAAAGCCAGACTACTTCCTGAGACTGTGATACCGAACCTAAAGAGAAGGGATCCCCAGGACAGAATGATCCAGGGAATCTGCAGAGGCGCTGGGGATCAGCAGAGCAGGGTGGTCTGTCTGGTTGTCTCCTGTGTCTGGGCTAAGGAGCGCTGTGCAGAAAGCCCCACCATTTCCTTTTATTCGGTAGTGAGGTCTCAAAAGTCTTGTGTTGGGGCTGGGGATTTAGCTCAGTGGTTCCGACACCTGCCTTGCAAACTCAAGGTCCCAAGTTCAATCCCCAGTACCAAAAAAAAAAGTCTTGGGTTTTCTGTGATGGAAACAGCAGGTCTTCCAGCTCCTGTGGCTGTTGTGTCTGGTGATGGTGTAATTTAAGAGTGGGGTTTTTTTTCCTTTGAACCTTAAAGTTTCTGTATTTGAAAGAGATAAGATTCCACATTTTTATACTTGAGGATCTTTTCTCATAAAAGAAGTTTTTTGTCCCTGACGCTGACTAAAAATATCGAATTTCCAGATGCTTTTGTAGATGACAGAAGTATTGTAAGCCACAAATCAGGAGTTCTAGATTTGAGGGAATGGCAGGAAAGGACCAGCCCCAGTGAGGTGATTAAGTAAACTAAACCAGCTCTCGGAAGTCCACAGAGGAGGAAATCAGATCGAGATGACTGTGACCTGGGATTTCAAGCTGAAAGACTGAAATCTGTTGATCTCCCCCTGTGTGATAATTGCTATCACTGCTGACTTCATAAAGTAGAAAAATATGTTTTTATTGAAAATTAAAATAAAAGCTTTGTAAGATCCTCCAAGAAAGATATTTGTGTCTATGTCTAATTTATACACAGTACACTGTTATCAACTTGATAGTTTTGTCTCAAATTTGACATTCTTCATAGGCCACGCTCTGTTGGTTTTATGTAGTTTATGATGTCTGTTATGCACTTATATTCCTGGAAGATCTCCAGAGAAGTCTTTTATTGGAGATTTGTTATTTTCAGTTTAAGCCCTCTTTCTGGAGTGACCGAGCTACCTGCAATATTAAATAAATATTTATTTCTGTGTAGTGTGTAATATAAAATTAAGCATCCGTAGATGTACAGTTCAGTAGCATTATAGATTCACAGTATTGTGCAACCACTGTCACTATTTCCAAAACTTTCTCATCATTCTAAATGTACCCGTTGAGTAATAGCTCCCCATGCGAATATGTTTGTTCAGAGTCTGTTATATGAGAGGGCCTGAACTAGGCTAGAGGGTATACAGAGATGACATGTGATTCTTGCTTTCAGGAAGCTTGGAAATCTCCTTTGTATACATAAACAGCCAGACTGGTAAGAGACTATCAGACGCTGAAAAATCAGAATTTCAGTTGAGACAGGGGAAGGAATCATAGCAAAAGGAGCATTTCTGTTAGACCTTAAAAAACCAATTTTTGGGCCGGGGATTTAGCTCAATGGTTTCGCCACCTGCTGCTCAAGGACCCAAGTTCAATCCCTGGTACTCTCCCCAAAACAATTTTTGTGAAGTAGATTGTTATTTGTGCCCAGGCAACCACATAGATTACCTTTTGTTTTGAGACAGGGTCTTGCTAAGTTGCTCAGGCTCACCTCAGACTAGAGATCCTCCTTCCTCAGTCTCCCAGACTGCTGTGCACCACCACTTCCAGGCTGTTAACTTTTTAGCAGTGCTGAATTTTAGAGCCTGACCACCTTTCACTGATTGGACTCTCAAGAATAAGTTTATTCTGTAGTAAAAGAAGAAACCACCCTTATATCTACTCCGCCTTACTTTCTGTGATCTGATCTCCCCATCAGTTTATTAACTGCTTCAGGAGGTGGCAGGGTTAGGAGCCGGATCTTCTCCCTGGGTATGGAGATGAGTGCTGACTGTGAGCCCGGCGGTGCCAGCACTTCAGATGTGTTATCTCCTCACAGCCTGGGGAACAGGCTGCTTCCATTGCTGTGGGAGACCGAGGCCCAGCAAAGAGTGCAGTGAGCCAGCAGCTTAGTGGGGTGGAAGTGAAGCTCATCGACTGTTGAGCACTGTTTTAAACTGGCTGTTTTTAGTCAGGAAGCTTAGTCTCTGAAATGCTCTTCACTCAAGTTGCTGAATATGTTTTAAAGCTTTAAAAAGTCTCAGTGGAGAAACGGGAAAAACAAGTTTTAATAATCCTACCTCAAAAAGCCTGTAATCCTTCCATCTGAACTATCTGGAGCAGTAACCTCTTGCTGGCTCATTACTATGTCTGTGGCATTTTTGGGCACTGGCTAAGTTTGCAGTACTGCAGTTGAGCCCAGTGTCCATACTCTCAGACACTGGCTGTGCAGTGAGATGGAATTCCCTTACCAGCCACGAAGAGCCAGGGAAGGCAGAACACACTAGAAATCTGCCACATGCCAGCTCTGAGCATCACCCTGTGTAGGTTTTCCTTCTGCCATCAGCCCTCTGAAAGGCTCTGCTGAGTGTAGGGAAGGAAAGTAGGTTTTTGCCTTGTGTGGTCATCAGTGTGGAGATAGAAGAATCCTTAAGCCAGTCTTATACAAATGGGGAAACAGGCCCAGAACATGGATATGTCATAGTCACAGAGGAAGCCAGGCAAAGCCAGGACAGACCTCAGGCCACCTCTTCAGTTGACTACAAAATCTCACACTAAATCTCATGTGATAGTTGGGAGAGACCATCAAGAGCAGCTGTGGGCTCTGCTGGGTGTGGAGTGAGGGTGGAATTCGGGTCTGCACCATCGGCCTCAGCTAATCTCTGGAGGAGTAGAGCCCCTGGGCCCAGGCACCCAGTGTGGGCCATCACCACAGTGCTATCTAAATGGCTCTGGTAATTATTTCCAGCACTCAGCAAGCAATTAAGTTCCCCTCCCTCTGTCAGAAATCTTGATTAGGCTTTTGGCATTTCCTATAGTTGAGGCAGTGTTAAGAAGTATTTTGACTCTGAAGAGAGAGTTGGATAGTCTAGGTACATGCTTTGATCTTTTCTAACTCTTAGTAATTATTTTTATTCTCAGCCTGAGTTCCAGTTCAACAAAGAGAATTTTTGTACTTAAACCAGCTTAGTGCGAGCGCATACACACAAAACCATCAGAGGGTTGGTGTAGCTCAGTGTTAAAAGTACCTGCGTAGCATTCACAGGGTCCTGGGTTCAGTCCTCAGCAAAGGGAAAAACAAAAACCACACTGCAATTAAAAGCCAGTAGTAACAGTAATACATGGACTCACTTATGAAAGCAAGTTTTTATGGATGTAATGACTATGTTGCCAGCATTAAGAAACATCAAGCATAAAAACTATGTAAGCCTCTGCATAAGTGATCTGCTTCAATCATTAAATAGTCTTGGAGCCAAACACCTGTAATCTCAGCAGTCTAGGAGGCTGAGGCAGGAGGATCGCAAGTTTGAGCCCAGCCTGGGTAACTTAGCAACTTAGAACCTGTCTGAAAATAAAAAAATAAAAAGGGCTGGGAATGTAGGTCAGTGTGAAAGCCCTGGGTTTAACCCCAGTTTTTTTTTTTTTTAAGTGATACAGTCATCTTGGGGTGGAATCTCATTATTTGATTAAAACCTCCTGGAGAGGTTAGGGCTGTTCTCTAAAATGTTGGCTAGCTGGTCATTTGTAAAGCTATTCTGAATATGTATAAAGGAAGGAGCATGGTTATTAGGGTAAAAGGCTAAGCTCTAACAAAGAGACTCAGCAATACTGTGGCTTAAAAAACAAGCCAGTGAACTCATCTCACAGCCCCGAAAGGAGTCAGCCTTTCCGAGAGAGCAGTCAGGTCAGTGGGGCAGCTCTGCTCCAGATGGTCATCTAGGGACACAGGTCCCTTGTATCGTGTTGCTTCCCTACCCTCCAGAGCATTGTCCTCAGCTGTGTGCTTGAGGCGGGGTTATCACTGGTCCCAGCAGGTGGGAAGGGAAAAGGCGAACAGAGGAGGCCGGAGGCCTGGGCCCTGCAGTCCACGCCAGCATCTGCCCGCACACCTACTGTCCAGGAGCTGGAAACAGAGGCCAGCCTGTGCCCAGAAAGAAGCAGAGAACAGATTTTGATGGACAACTCGCAGTCTTCATTAAACTGGTATCATGGAAACAACACTGAATTCCAACCTCTTTTAACTAATTAGTTGTTAGTTTGCTAGGGGCAAATTTCTCTATTTTCCCATCTGTGACATTCGTGGGTCACGTGACCTGGCCTGAATTATTTCAAAAAGTGAAGCTTGGGCCAGGGATTTAACTCAGTGGTGCCACCACCTGCCTCACAAGCACAAGGTCCTGAGTTCGATTCCTGGTACCAAAAAAAAAAAGTGAAGCTTGACAAAGTCTGTACTGGTGGTACTAGACTAAGACAAGAACTGTGGTACCTCAGTTCAGGAACTTGAGTCTTTCTGCAATTCTGGTCACAAACTGAGTTGGACAAGAACCAAAACAAATTCAATTGTAAGTTTCAATGCTGACGTTATGGGGAAATTTGATTTGGTTCTCGCCCAGTTCAGTTTGTTACCAGAATCATGGAGAGAATTGAATTTGTGAACCGAGCTATTACTGAATTGTAAGAAAGCATTTCAGGGAATGTGAGAGTGTATGAGCTGTGGGGTCAGTACTGATTCTCTGAAGATGGTAGGGAGGAGAGATGGAAAGTGTTTTGGTAGCCTTGACGAATAACTGAACCAGAGACTAACTGCCTACCTCTAGATAGACCCTTTGTACAGGGGAAAACACACTGTTTGTAATTACAGCCAAACACCCTCCTATCTAATGTACCATCTGTGCAACCTTTGGAAAATTGTTTAAGCAGCCTGAGTCTCCTCATGTATGAAATTCCAGGGGACATCATAACAATTAAGTGAGGTCCTTTTGTAGATAGTGTAGTGGTTCGGCACTGTGGTACCCAGTGAACAGTAGGCACGGATTGCATACGTTTGCTTCATTGGAGGAAGTTTGTTAATACCGTTAAAAGTGTTGGTTCATGATGTGGTGTCAGTTCTTGAAAGTTATGCATCAAAGCAAGCTCAGACTTAAGATTGACTAGTTTACCAATGGCCTAAAATAGTGCCACTGCCTTTGCTTGCCACCCACCTAGGTTTCAGCTCTTAGGTTTGGCTGTCTCATTGGTTGGTCAAATGTGTATGATGTCTTCCATTAGCTTAGTCGCTTGAACTGTTTCCATCACCTGAGTTACCCTTTTCTAATGAACTCCTGTACATCCTTCAAGACCCAAGTTTGATGCCGTTTGTTTAGAGAAAGCTTCCTAGGCTCTCTAGGTAGGCTTAGTTTTTCCTTCCTGTGTGAGCCCTAGCAATTTATACATTGGGATAGTATTAATATTGGTGAGCACTTACATAGCACTTTGTGCCAGGCACTGTTTTAAGTATTTTTATGCAAACTAACTCATTAAATCCTCCTAACAGCCTATGAGGTCATGTTGTCATTGTTGTTATTATCTCCTTTTTACAGTTGAGAAAACTGAGTAGAGCAGTTAGGTCAGGGCAGGCTAGGATTTGAAACTGCTGGGTAGGTGGCCCCAGAGTCTCTCCCACCTTTTCATTTTGTCACAGCACATATCACTGTATGTCTTACTCCCTTGGATAGTAAATTCTACCAGGATGTGAGTCCTATTTCAAGGCCAGTGTGGAGCATATAGTGGGCACCCAGTAGACACTGAGGCCAGCTCCTGCAGGGCACACCTTCCGAAACATAGATACTGCATGAGTGCTCACTGTGCACTCGGCATTGTGTGTTAGCACATGCCTACCTTACAGTATTTCCTTAAAACAGACAGGGGAGTGTTATCACTATTTGATGAAAGAGCCAATAT